AGCAGGGTTCTTTAAATTCATAGAGGAGGCTTGCTTCCACAACCTGTAATTGAATTAAGTTCTGCTTGTTCTTTATGGCTGCCAAATAGCTGTAACAACTACTGGAATGATTTGTTTCCTGTCACCTGGTCACGGTAGGTTGATGTAGACTGATGCTTTCTGTTACTTATGTCAGATACTCCAAGTCAATAAGTAGAGATCCCTGATGTTATGCTAAAACAAATCTAGTTGCAGTGACATGCCAACCATAATGTCTTTCATGTGTTTTCTCTTGAAACAGTGCTGTTTTACACTTACGGTATTACTGATTTTCACTCTAGGCATATCGCATGAGGCCTTCAATTATTTTCTTTGATGAGATTGATGGTCTTGCTCCTGTCCGGTCCAGTAAGCAAGACCAGATTCATAGGTATTATGTTTTCTATGTCTACGTAGAATCTGCTGGGAGTGGGAGGGGTGATGATGACCACTTTGTATTCCTCATTAATTTATCCTGAAAACTTGTAGCTCGGTGCTCCTAAACTTGAGATTATTTGAGACAACAGCTGAAAACAATTCACTTGCTCAATACTAGCACAAGGTCTGTGTTACCTTACCTATTTTTGTCTGTCTTAAAATGAGTCACTGATGAGCATCATCAATAGAATTGTGTCCTTTTTTGAGGACTCACTGGAGAAAGTAATAGAATCAAAGAATTGCTCAGGTGGGAGAAGACCTTTGAGATCATAAAGTCCCAACACAACCTAATTATACTACCCTAACTAACAACCCATTGCAAAATCAAGTCCCTGAGCACCACATTCAAATGGTTTTTAAACACGTTCAGGGATGGAGACTCAGCACCTCCCTAGGGAGCCTATTCCAGCGCTTTACAACCCTTTCAGTAAAGATATCCAACCTAAACCTCCCCTGGTGCAACTCGAGGCCATTTCCCCTCATCCTGTCACCTGCCACCAGTGAGAAGAGACCAACCCCACTCACTGCAATCACCTTTCAGATATTTGAGAAGAGCCATAAGGTCTCCACTCAACCTCCTCTTCCCCAGGCTAAATGGCCCCAGTTTCTTTAACTAGCTTCTCATAGGCCATATTCTCCAAGTCCTTCACAAGCCTAGTTGGCTTTCTTTAGACCTGTTCCAGCAAGCTCAGTGTCCTTTCTGTATTGAGGTGCCCAGAGCTGAACACAACACTAAGTCATGTGGATTGTATCAAAACTTACTGAACCGGGGAATAAAAATTGTATTTTTTCTATCAGCTCCATCGTATCAACGCTTCTGGCACTCATGGATGGGTTAGACAGCAGAGGGGAGGTGGTTGTCATTGGTGCAACCAACCGACTCGATGCCATTGATCCAGCGTTACGAAGACCTGGACGCTTTGACCGAGAATTCTTCTTTGGCCTCCCAAATAAAGAGGTCAGAAAGTAAATACAACCTTAATGCTAATGTGACAAAGTCGGATTTCATAGCAAAAAGTTGTGCAGATTGGATGAAAGGCTGGTATCTGGAGACACTTCCATACTGTGCGGAGCAAATCTGCTGCTGAATATATATGATGACAACTTCAACAAGTAGTTCAGTCTACATTATTTTTGGTTTCACTGTGACTAGTCAAGAAAAACAGGATGTTGCTTGTCACAGGCATGTTTTAAGAAGGAATGAAAATGCAAATTGGCTTTAAACTATTGTTCTCTCATCTTGAAGGTGAAGGAAGTGGTGTACATCCTCAATAATTACTTCTTGCTTGCATAAAAACTTGTATCATGACTGGTGATGGAATGTATTCAGAGCTTTCCCAAAGTTGTTTTGTTTGCTTAATTACTTAATCTGCTTGGGCATTTTCATCTTGAAATTCTGCTCTTGGTCTCAGTAATTCACTTATGAGTGGATGGAGGCGTACTTCATTAGATTGTTCTAAATGGGAGTTACCTATATTAGCTGACATTCTTACTGCTTCATATTGACAGAGGCTTGGGTGAAGATGTGAAGTGCACTGCAGAGGGGAAGGGCTTGGGAAGCTTCTAGTTCAGTGGCAGTGATTAACCAAGGTTGAAACTGGTGTCTAGTTTGAGTCATAGTTATTTTCCTTATAGAAATTGCAGCAGCTTGAAGAGTGGTACTAGAGTTACTTTACTTGAATGAACTGACAGAAAAGCAAGTGCAGTGAACTAATGGGACTGTCACCATGAAATTTTCCAAATTTAAGAGAAATTTCTTGGAGGGGGAAAATAAAAAATGCTTTTC